AGTAATTGGGTGGATCAGCGTCTCTTCTCGTGGGTCATCCTCGAATCCCCTGACCCGGGTTTATTAGACCCACTTTGATTCTGTCAGTTTCCTGGAGAAACCCAAACCCTCGAAAGTTGAGTGTTTTATCTCAGGAGGAAACTCGGGCAGCCAAAGATGGTTCGCAGCATACATGCCTCACAGGTTGTATGAACAGGAGGGAGTTTTCTTCAGCCCGCATTTAAGCATTTGTCTGAATGCAGGTCTACAGGTAGTCCTTGGAAGTTACAACATGTGATCCAGGGGTGGGTTCCAGCAGCCGCTACTGCTGTTTGCTCAGGGATGCGCCATGCATGCTTGATGTGCGTTGCGCAGAAGCAAAAAACAAGATGCCTTGCAGCTTGCTGCTACTTAAACACCAGACAAACAAAACATAACTCAAAGGGATGTTATTTCAGCTGCCATAACATTCTATGCTGCCATTTTTTTTTTCAGTATAAGAAGTCTTTGAACAGTTACTACTTAATCTATCCATTCTGCTCAGTGTGTGGACATATCTGCTTTACACACATTATATTCCAAATGTATTGTAGCCTGTTTCTCAATCTCAGCAACTTTAAGATGGACTTCAACTCCCACAATTCCCCAGCCAGCCATGGCACTCTACAAGCTGAAGTCCAGCCATCTCAGCAATGGCACTTAGACTGATATACTACTTCACAGTGCTTTACATCTTTGTCTAAGGGATTTACAGAGTTAGCATATTGCCCACAACAATCTGGCTCCTCGTGTTACCCACCTTAGAAGGCTAGAAGGACGAGTCAACCTTGAGCCGCTGAGAACCGAACTCCTGGCAGTTGGCAGTATTAGCCTGCAATGCTGGATTCTAACCACTGTGCCACACAGGAGTAGGTTCCGGCAGGCACCACTGCCGGTTCGCTCATGGCCACGCCATGCGCGGTTCAATAAAAATTGTTCTGCGCATGTGCAGAAGCCAAAAAGAAGATGGCTATGCCTATGGGAGAACCGATTCGGGGACGCAGCAGGCCTGGGACGCTGTCGGTTCCAGTGGCCCAGGCCGCCAAACCACTACCGGTTTGGCCGAACCAAGCCAAACCGTTAGGAACTCACCACTGGTGCCACGGCTCCTAAAGATGCTTAGGTTGAGAAGCACTGTAATAGACCATCAGCCAGCCATCAGGAAACAAGGAAACCCTATTTGCCTTCTGTATGTATTCACTCGTATGTGCATTACTCGTCCATCTGATTTATTTCCACACAACATTAATCAAACATGGCAAGCAAACCATACTAGTAAACCATAGCAACTTACCAATCCAATACACTTTTTTAAGATACTCCAGACACTGAAATCACTCCTAGTAAACATTGGGGCAGGTAAAGATGTTCTGCAGGAAGAATAAATCAATATTTTAATACTAGGGTCCCATACCTTTCCATAAAATATTATTCTGCAATGGTCACTACACAAAGCTGTTTTCTGATTTCTTCAATCATACAGGTGAACAGTTTTAAAGTGAAGCCACCTGTTGAAATATTTTCAGTAATTCTTCCAAGATTCTTTCAACACTTTTGGCCTGAACTTTGCAATATTATGAATGTATATGAGAATTATCCTGCCTCGAAGAATATGGTATGTGCAAACTTTTAAACACAACGATAGCAATTTCTAAAAATTAAGAATGTAAATATTATTTAGTACAAACTCTATTGAGAACAATGAGATTCATCTCCAAGAAAAGGGTAAGGGTTTTTTTGCACAAAGCAAACTTGAAACAATAAGATCAAATCACCTAATGAACTGAATTAGATTTCTATTGGTTAACTTTTTAAATGAAAACTAAATGGGAGAAAATCTAACATGACTCTGCCAACAAAGTCCAAATAGAACTTCGGCTTAAAAAAATTAAACATTCTTTTAGATCAACGTTTTTCAACCTTGGTTGGCAACTTTTAAGATGGTTGGACTCCAACTCCCAGAATCCCCCAGCCAACATGGTTGGCTGGAGAATTCTAGGAACTGGAGTCAATCATCTTACATTTGCCAAAGTTGACAAACACTGTTTTAGATAATCCTGGAATGGGGAAAAAAAATCCTCACACAACTAAGCAATTAAAATCAATGCTTGTCTTAATTTAATCCAACTAAAGATGAAGGACTTACAGTCTACCTCAGCACTCGACTGCTTCAAAACGTGTCGAATTCTGTAATCAACATGTTTTGAAGCAGGAATCTTCACCTGGCATTTTTTTTTTTCTCCCGGTAGTCAACGTGTAAGGAATAACTTGCTGACGTCAGCTGCTTCATGACCTGCTATTTCTTCTGGCTGAAATAGCGGGTCACATGGCAAGTCTCATGATTTTCTACATACCGGTCAGTTTTAAAATTCATCATATCTTCCAGAACGAATTACCGATGGGTACTGAGATGCCACTGTATTTTTCAGTTTGTAGAATGTGATTCTCAAAATGTAGCATTCCCACTTCCCATTTTGACCGTTGCTCTTGGAAACCCCTCCTAAACTGCCCTCTGTTTTACTTTGTAGTTTATGTAGCAATCTAATAACTTTAAGATAATTAAAAAGCAAAAAAAAGTTCTTCATGCACAGGTATGAAGTCTACACACTGCTCATTCTCAAAACATAGTTTCCTTAATAATAATAATAAAAAAAATCCCAACCAAAGCAATTATCCAGAGAAAGTACCTGTGTTTCTTGATTCCGTTCTCTTGTACTGGCCCGTCGCCATTGTGCTTTCCAGTCCGGTTACTCTGGTGATCGTCCACATCGACTTTGTGAACTGCTTCTGAAAATTCTCCTGAAGAATTATCCGAATCAAAGCCTGTGTAAATAAAGTGGATTGCATTGAAGCATATCACAGGACCCTGGGGGTTGTCCTGTAAATAATACAATAATGGAAAGCAGCAAGCATGAAGTACTTCTGCGCATATGAACTGCACGTTTAAATGTCATAAACAGAATTTTTGTGTGCTATTCCAGTATGAAGCACCGTATGTTCCATTCCTTTGTGTTTGATTGCGCTTACTCCTTTATACTTCGTTTATTTTCCTAGTTGCAATGCTGTGAAAGTTGGACCATAAGAAAGGCTGAGCTCCAAAGAATTGAGGCCTTTGAGCTATGGTGCTGGAGAAGACTCCTGCGAGTCCCTTGGACGGCAAAGCGAGCAAACTGGTCAGTCCTAGAGGAGATCAACCCTGATTGCTCTTGAGAAGGCCAGATCATGAAGATGAAACTCAAATGCTTTGGCCACCTAAGGAGAAGGAAGGACTCACTGGAGAAGAGCCTCATGCTGGGAAAGATGGAGGGCAAAAGAAGAAGGGGACGACAGAGAATGTGGTGGCTGGATGGAGTCACTGAAGCAGTAGGAGTGAGCTTAAATGGAGATGGTAGAGGACAGGAAGGCTTGGAGGAACGTTGTCCATGGGGTCACGATGGGTCGGACACGACTCCTTTATGCGACTGCTTATGTAGACCATCTAAACTAGATAAGTTAGGTTCCTTGAGTCAGT